CCCCATGCTGCCTCCTCACGGGGTCCCAATTCATGGTAGATAGAAGTGTTTTGTGTTTTCAACCGCACTAAGACTGACGTCTTTTCATTGGTCAGCCGGTTCGCGCGGTCGATGCTACTAACAAAAACACACGCGGATTCTGCACACCCGACACGCACATGGATATCGAACCACGCAACAATTAGAAGTTGATGCCGTGGCCTTAATACCTCGCATGCCCTCATGTCGTGCTTGCGCATATCTCTGTGCGATCGTCTGCTGAGAAAACAACGATTACAATGGATAACCACTCCATTCACCCTGCGATGTGCCGGGCATGCGCTGTCAGTTCTATGGCTACCGTAAAAGGCGGAGAGATGGCACCGGGTGCGATCGTTATTACAAAGCTTTTCCTCGCTTTTTTTTACACCCCGGTGCGATCTCATCGACCGGTGCCACCTCTCCGCCCCCGGTGAGGAAGTGCAATTAAATCATTTCGTGCAGTTTTTTCAAGGCACACCGGTACGATCTCTCCGACAGGTACGCAGCTGTATATCAACTTGCCACCAGATGAAGTTGTGTGAAGGTTTCTCTGGTGGTCATTTCCAGAAGGCTGTACTTGTTCGTGCTGTCGATGTTGACCTCAAACGGAAAATCCCTGTCTTTGGCGTACTAATGGAAGATCTGCATAAACAACGCGAAACTCGAATGCCAGTGGCGGTCGATGCACTAAGGGACTTATCAAGTCCCACAATCAAACCATTCATATCGAGTCTGTCCTCTCTCCCAAGCTCCGTCTAACCGCGGGAAACCTACCCTATGCGGCGCTTCACGCCTCCTTGTCACGTTTCTTTGTGGCCTCAAGCTTCCCCCTCATAGACCTTGATATATATTTTGTAGGAAGAGAGTGTTGTTCTCCTTCCTTGCATGGTTGTATTTGTTGCTGGTGTTCGTTCTGGCAAACCGATTACATCGGACGAATTCTATTCGCGGACAAGACTCCAGCTGGATATCGGGTATATCGTGCAACACGCCATCAACCCCCCGGCGAGGTAGCTGCTGCAGCACAGAACTACAAATCTCTGCATCTGTGGGTTTTGCATGCACGCACCGAGGCAGCTCTCAGCGGATGGGTTAGTTCCACAATTTGCACGAGTGAGTACAGATAACGGCGACAGATGCCGTCCTGCTTGTTGGTGGAACTGTCAAGCAAGAATTTGGGGAAAGGTACAGAAAAACCACCCTCCCCGACACAGAAATAAGTCCCCCGTCAGGCACGTTTCCTCGTAGGGAAACGACGGTACCATCTACGAGGTTCTTTTTCTACACTTTGACGAGGTTCTTTTTCTACACTTTGTATCCCCCTCCCCCCTTTGGAAAACCCAAGCAAATCGAAGTAGAAGAGCTTCCGGTCACCGGGAGTGAATTGCACAACGATTCCAAGTGATGAACTCACCCCCGAGTTCCTACATCATCCAACCAGCAGTTCGATTGATTCTTCCCCCGTCTGCACACGTACCGCTGCACTCTTGGCCCCTCGCTGACGCATTCATTCGCGACCCCAAGCAACATAGAGTAACGGAGGTTTGCATATCCCCAAACAAGCAAACAGAAGCGACTGTTGTTCCTTGCCTAGGACTCGCTGACTGTATGTGTCTGCCAAACGTTTGTTTGGTGGCTGCAACAGTGGTCGTCCGATCAACTACCAAACAACGACGAACTTTAAAGGTTTTGCCCTCCTCGACGACATATCACTCTCGCATGTTGCATACCCTCGACGATATATCACTCTGGCTATTATTCCCGCATGAGCTTTTTTCTGAGATCTGGGTGAGGGAAGACCGCTGGGTATGCAACCTTGCTCTTATGCAGTACTTGGTGTACATGCCAGACCTGGGGAGAGTGGACAGAGTATCAGAGCAAGTACACGAACAAAGGCAAGTTTTTTTTATGTTATGATCAGTGTGCGGTGTGCGACTGTTTTGTTCCACTAAGCTGGTGGACTGATCCATTATTTGAAACGAAGGTGGGTTAAAACTACGGGAAAACGTAGTGCACACTTCCATATTCATGAATCTCGTACATGCATTCAATCAAAATACATTTCCTAGCATTTTGGAGCACGACATTTGACCCGTACACGCTACGGCACGTGCGTGCATAGTTGGACAGATCGTGTGTCAGTACCACAACGATGTCTGGTGGAGCACACACCACACCTCCTTTGTCGGGTCCACGAACGGGTAAGCCGTGCTTGCATGAAACACTTGCCCGTGGCGTCAATAGGAGAAGTCAGGTAGGACGTCGACGGGAGGAACCCGACGCCAAACAAAGTATTCCCCAACACCAAAAGCAACAGCAGCATAAGCTACAGCAGCAACAACAACTGCAACAACCACGACAGCAGCACCAGCAGCATCAGCACCAGCACCAGGCAGGCAACAGACCAGGCAGGTGCTACGCACAGCGCGAAACGCCGCGAGGCTTCCAGTGAGCCGGATGATGCCAAAAGAAACGCTTGTGGTGAGAAGGGTCTGCTTGATACCGCGTATCTACCCTCTGAATGACTGGCAGATGGTACGTTCGAACGTTATGTCCTGTGTTCCGGGTCCCGGGTGAGGGTCCAGCCCACGCACGGGTGAGGTGGAAGACTATGTAGTAACTCCGCGCGTGAGCCGGACTCAAGTGCGCACCGTGTGGCGCGGCACATTTGCTTTCGTGGCTCTTGCAGAGATGCAAAATGACGGAAATGACGATGTCATATACCATTGCAGCCGATAGTCAGCGACGGTTGCGGTACAACACATCTACTCTCTGTCTCTCGCCTTTTGAAGCGCGGAAAAGGATCGTACGCAAGGAGCTTAAATATCTCGGTCTCCACCATCTGGAAAGCCTGGACTATCTCCTCCATGGTGGCCCCTTCATTGGCCAATACATTCGAAACCTGAAAGGGACGTACACAGGGACAGAGGTACAACGGTATGGAGAGACAGACGGTGCACGGCGGCGAGCGATCTTTCCGTAAAACAGCCTTCAGCGCGCGCGTGGACAGAGAGAAGCTCGTGCTTGTGGCCAAAATATTCGCGGCCGCTCTTTGCGCTTCACGCACGTCCAACTCGGGAGGACTCCCCCCCCTCCCCATGCCGTCCCCCCTTTTTCCCAGACATCCCGTTAGCCCTCCTGAAGGTTCTACTATCAGCAGCCCCAGAGACCACCCGCACTTAGAGGGGTCTGGCAGACAATTCCAGGGTACATCGACATCAGTAAGGTCCCCTCTTGTCTATTCCCACCGTCTGTTGGTCGTAGATCAGGCAGTTTTGGGACACTCTGTGCGTGGAAGCGAGAACAAGCTGTTTCGCCCTAGACCGGCAGCGCACCACCCCCCACTAACAAGCGGCGACGTTTTCGAACTAACACTCGCCTCCGTGGAGCGGAAGGTGTAGAGCGGGTGCTAGGAAGAGTTTTCACGCCCCACTCTTTTGCACACGTTTCAACTTTTTCCCTCAATAGTGCCAATACCACCGCCCGCACGAACACCAGAACCAATATCCATCATGCCCCTCCCCTATCCTCGACCCACACGCCTTCTCACCTTTTTCACGACTGTTCCTGGCAAGTTGCATTCCGCCCCACACCCGTTCTTGATGAAACGCTCATAAATATTCTTCCCTTCCAGTTGGATGTCGCACACCCCTTCCCCACCTCTACCGCCGTCTTGTTTTTTCTCTTGTGCTGGTGCTGGTGCTGGTGCTGGTGCTGGTGCTGGTGCTGGGTTTTCCTCTGTTGCTGCTGGCATGTCCCGTGCCTCCCCCTTCTTCCCCTCGAGGGCTCCCTCCTCTCCTTCTCGTCCTCCCCCTCCGCCTCCTCCTCCACCTTCTCCTTCTTCTTGCGGGGTCTCTGCGGCAGGAGCAACAATTCCCGATTCCGTGCTTGCTTGGCCCCCATCCCCATCTCCGCCCGCGCCGTCGTCGCCCCCCATGTCCTTTTCTCCTCCGTCCTCTTCCCCCTCTACTACTCCACCCCCCACGTCGCCTTCGCCCTCCTCCTTATGTGTTGTCGTTGTCGTCGTCGTCGTCTTCTTCGTCGTCGTCGTCGCTGTCGATGCCGGTGTTGTTTTCGTCGCCTTGGCCTTTGCGAGGAGGCTGCGAGTGGCCAAAAGCACATCGATCCCTTCCTCGGCGAACTCGACCACGAGGTACTGTCGGAACTTGTCGATGCCTATCTTGGAGGACAGCACCACATTCAGGCCCGGGTCGCCCAGAAACTCGACAAACTGCGCGTCGCCATCATCGTGGTTGCGGTTGTTAATGCTGTTGCCGTTTGTGTTGCGGTTCCGCGCATTGTCGTATCGTTCAAGTTGGAAATATGGTCAGGGTTGGAGTTGCGGCTACGGCTAGGGTGATTGCTTTTTTGCGACTAGAGAGAGACAGGACGGCGTGGCGTGTGTGGAACGTGGAAGCCGTTGGCTCCCGTGACAAAAAGAATACCGACAAGACAAACAGATTAAGGCCGCGCCCCGCGACCCATTGCCGCTACAAGTACACCCATCTATCTGTCTACCCTTGCCTCCTTAGACATGATGTCCTTGATGCTCTCGAGGTCCTCTTTCAGGAGTTCGTCTAACCCGCCTTCTTCTTTCCTCTTCCTGAGCTCCAGGTACGTGCTCGACACGAGGAACTCCGACAACGATTCCTTCTCCATGGTCGACACCACCTCCATTGTAGCCGGGTCGAACATATCCCTGGTCACCTTTCCCTCATTAATGGCCTGTAACGGCACGAAAGTGGCCGTGAAACAGGATGGGTAGGTGGGTTGTGTGTCGCGGTTCTGGGTTGGGCACACCATGCGCTGTTGCCTCTCTTTTGGTCGTACTGGCATCGATCGACAAGCCGCGCATAAGCACCGAACGCCCTTCCTTCGGAGCACAAGAAAGCATTCCATCTTACCTACTCATGTCTCTCCTTACAGATATCCTGTCTGTGTGGCTTGTTGCGTACCGTGCTTATATCTCCTGATATGTCTCACGAAAACACGCAACACGCATCGTGTGTGTTGCACTTACCGAGGCAAGGGCCTGGAGGGGCTAGACAACCCGCGTGTTCGAGGGTCATGGGTGGGGCAGGCGCTCTCACTACAGAACGTTCCCTCACTGGTGAAGCAGCAGTTTAGAACTTGGGCCGAACAAATCCAAAACCTGAGACCTTCTCCGTAAAACAAGGTGCTCAGTCAAGAAGCCTGCAGTACAGTACAGTAAGACCTATATAGTCGCCGTGGGGGTTAGGTTTGCCCTCTTGATAAAAACTAACCGACGCTCGGGCAAATAAACAATGATAGGTCCCTAACCCTCTTCGTACTGGAAGCCCAAACGGGGACACTTATGGGGACACAGCACCAAAATGTCTGTTTTCCGCACCGTAGTCATCGTTATGCTCCGCCGTGTGAAACGCTCGTGGGAAACCTAAACCTTGGTCTACCATGCTGGTGTGAGGTGGTACGCTGTGTGGTACACTGCTGTGTGATACTTGTGTGCCTCTCCCCGGACTCTGACATGCTGTACACATATCTCCCAAGCCGCGTGTCCCCTAGACGGAAAAGCTGTAAATATCCGGGTACAACCTGGTATTGGAAATTTTTGCTGACTTGGCTTCAATATGGACATTGTCCCCAGTGCAATTGGGGACACTTTCTGTACTGAAGTCAACTCAGCCTTCGTCCCTCGAGACTGTACAGCCTCTCCCAATGAGCGGGCGCGATTGTTTCTAGACCCATAACCTGTATCTAACTGCGTACTTTGGGAAGTTAAGTGGTGGAGCGTACTGCATGATCACGAGTCCTTTTCCAGGCGCTTCACCGGCCCTTCTCCTAGCTGAGACCGCACTCGGGCGTTCCTATGCATAGAATTCTTAACCCACTCAGCTATTCTCACACCCCGGTCATTTTCCCCAGTACCTCCTAGTCGAGCGGCCATTCCCTCAACATGTCAAAATTCATTTCGTCACGTCTACTACACGCTTCAAGCGCTCTTTTCAAGGGGCTCTCTTCTTCTCTACTACGTTTGTCTTGCTCGGCCAAGTGAGACAGGCACGCTATTACAACCCCTTCCTTTTCCACCCTGTTGCATGTACTATACGCTTTTTCCTCCTGTCCGGCCAGTCCCAGTCTTCTTCGCGCACCGTAACCGGGCTTGCGGTCGGCTCTGTCATGATGATACCGCAGTCGCGAGTAGTGGTCAGCTTATTCGCGTATGTACGCGAAAAATGTGGAGAGTATCCTACTAGCGCGAACCCCACTCGACGCAACTCTCCCTGATATTCTGCCAGTAGAATTGTTGGACATAGCAAGGACCAAGGGGTGAGCCCCAAAAGGGGCACGGCTGACGGCAACAAAGATGGGAAAAAATCCGCGGGAAAAAACAAGGGTGGAACGTATACCGTGAAGCCTGCTCATTCCACACGTCTCCACACTCAGTGGGTAGCAAGGCGGAGGATGTGGAGGCTGCCTTAAGAAATGGTCGCATCTATCTACCTTAGGTATGTCAAGGACGATCCCCTCTTTTCACAAGACTGCAGATGGGTATACAGACCTCCCGTATGCCACTTTACTGCATGTACGGGCAGACTACTTGTTTCACGGTATTGCTCACTCCCATTTTCGGCGCCTCTCTCCGTGCCCAAAAATCAAGGGAGAGAATCTGCCCTTGTTATCGTATTTAGAGGTAGACGTGTGATCGTGATTGACCATGTTTATTTGGCGTCGTCGGATGCTATGACATGACGTCATCCTAGATTAGGGCTTTGTGCCGAGGCATGTGCCCTTCTGTGCAGTGTGCAGACGAACCGGTGATCGTGTGTGCTTGGGATCTTGTGAGTTGGCTTGGAAAGCGTTAATCAAGAAAAAGAGAAACAACGGAAAGCAACAACAACCTGCACCTGTGTAGTCGGCCAAGAGAGTACCACACAGCTCAAAGGTGATAGATTCTGAAGGAAAGGTCAAACATCAGTACACTGACGTCGTCCGGCCTCCCACCATGTCTCCTACGGAAGGAGCCTATGTCGTCAATGGCGTCGAACATGGGGAAGCCAAGCGGTCACTCATTCCTCTTCCATCTTATACTTTCCCGAATATCATAAAGCATTCCTCACCATGTGCCCCTACCACGAGCCATGACACTCCATTACACACAGTTATTTCTTCGGTCAAGGATATTCCTTTGGTTCTTCCAATCCCCTCCCCTACTTCAGGGACGGAGGCAGCTAGAATGCTGTAAGGACGCCCCTTAGCACCTGTACTCGGCGATTTTGCGAAACACCTTGCTTGCGGAGTAGTGTAAGGGAACTCGGCAAACAATTATTGCCACAGGCACCTTCTTAATGGATCGGCAGATTCCGTCGTCTAGATCCACCCTCAGCGGGGCAGTCTCCGATACGTACAGCTGATAGATCTTGCGTGCGGCTTCCGTGAGTTGACAGTTGGCCGTTGTCTCGTGCGCGAAGTGAGACACGGCCTGAAAGAACTCGTAGTTCTCGCTCCGATTTCTGCACCAACGCCAGACGTTGCCAATGCCGAAACGGGTAGTAGGAGGATTCCCGATCAGGGGACAGCTATTTTTTAGAATAGGTCACATACATTGTTGCTGCGAGCACAGGTAGGTAGGGTGCAGCAGCTTACCGAGAATAGGGAATTGAATGGCCGGGAGGTAGGAACAACCCTACTGTATGTCTACATGTATGTACTCGTGCGGCATTTAATCGGACCACAGCGCAATAATTTACAACCTCGAGAGCAGAGGAGTCGCCATCTCATCGTCCCCCATATGTTACGTCACCTTCACTCACGTTAGCGCCAGGTGCTTGTGGAAGGCCATGGCATACACAGCATTGGAGAGCACCTTGGCCAGTGTGGTGGGAGGCTCGTGTATACCCTCGACCTCGCTCATGAACGTTGTTGGTCTGACATTCGCCACCTTCTCCCCACCCGACCCTTCTCCCATTTTCACATATCCGCCAGGGCCATCGTCCACCCTTTGTTCTAAAGGGACGACCGGAACACATGTTAGCACGAGGTTGCCCATCAGCTCACTAAGTGATGACGGTAGGAACTAAACAGCGGCGGAATAATCAACTGGCCGATTCGCTGCCCACCCGTCGTCGTGGTTGCCAAATAAATAAATGCTGACGATCCCGATTGCCCGCGTGTGTGTATGGGACGAGGCACTGCTCATGAAAGTCCTCTTGGCATATTCACATTCCAATCTCGTTCACTAGCTGTGTGGGAAGGTGCGGCAGGCAGCACATGCACCCCGGGTGGTGCCGCCGCGTGCGGATAGAACTAATGGAAGGTGGTCCCGCTTGCGATTGGCGTGTCGTGGTTCCGTTTCGGCGTGTCGGCGTGTGCGTCGGCGGTTATTGCAATCCCGCCGCTCCCTTACAAGCCACTCTCTCTCGATCTCTCTCAGATCTTGGACCTCGAGTAAGGAACGTGTTTGCGCGTGAGAACGCTGCCGTAGAGAGAGGGATAGAACAGTGCGGAGCGTATATCGATTGTTCGAACACACTTGCCGTTGGGTTGGTGTTCTGTCGCTACAGCTACAGCAGTAGGATGGCGGCGGCCGCCTCAAAAAATGAAGAGAAGAACGTTGTTGGAGATCAGCGGAACTGGGAGCAGAGAGTCACGTCCGAGCTAGAGGTCGCCAAGGCGTGGTGCGAGAACTGGGGGCCGCTGTACGAAGGCGCCACGACGCAACAGCAGCAGTTGAAATCGCTGGAGGAAAAACTCAAGCGGTGAGTCTCCAACTCACCCGTCCGTATGACGGTGCATACCGCACCCCCTCGGACCGAGTGTCACATGTCGATTGCTCCACGACCAAGAGGGTGTGTCAATGTCAAACGATACGTTATGAGAAACCTCTCGAAAGGATCTCCTGTGGAGAAAATACATACATCAGAGACGATGCATTGTTTGCAATACTCGTCTGCAGTGGGAAGTGATTGTTCCTCTTGTCAGACAACTTATTATTGAGGAGCTAAAAAATTTACGCGTATGTTCCTACCCTATCGACGCACGTACGTATGCCATACAGGAGACTAGGAGTCTTGAGTAACGGGTCGCGAGCAACCTAATATGTTCTTTATGTAGATCTTCACTCTGGTGATTTTCCACTGCTGCAACAGTTGTCGATCTTTCGTATGGAAGACTATGACGCCGCCAGAGAGTACTGCTGTACGGACCTCCATCATGAGGTGTAATCTGGACGTATCGGCTGGGGGTTACACAGGAGGAGTTGCCGCACAGGAGCGTATTCTTCTTCACCTTCCTTCTGCGGTGCTTGCCTTAATTGATGTTTTTGCTCCTAGAGGCGTTCAGCTGTTCCCTTTCCCTCGTTTAGTGCGATGTCGAATGAATAGACTATATTCGTACCCACGAAATACAGCAGTCTAAATCGCCAGTTCCTGCCCCCCAATGTCGAGGTCCGAAGCCACGTCCCAAATGTAAACGTCAGAAGATTGCGAGGCCATAAACTAAACTACTCAGCCTCGAATATGATTGTGTGGCCGAGCAAGGCCGAGTTCATATACTTGTGTTTCGTGGCCAATGCGTCATATTTTCTGCGTAATATTTGGCCTTCCGTCGGCTTGAACACTTATATATCAACTTTACAAATAATTTTGTCTTGCCTTTCGCGTTCTTGTGCAGGATGCCTGGGGACCAAGGGACGCGAACGAACTACCAGCTATCGTTTACCGGCGGAGCGCCATTCGACGAGTACCCTGTAGGACTCACCAACCAGAAGCCTCTCAGGATGGAGGACGTCGAGGAACTAGCCAAGGAAATGATGGTTGCACAGCAGAAGCGTAGATGATACTGGCTGTGTGACGCATGTTGGGCGGCAGCTTCATTTAGGTACTCAGAGTTCTTACGTCCGCAAGAAGTGAAGAACGGGCCCCTATTTTTCTCAACAGCGAGAGCCTGTAGATATTCGCCCAGCGGAGCGAGACTTTTATCTATGCGCTCTGGGTGAACAAACCCTTCGATGCAACAACCTCACAGCAGCGGTGAGTAGCAGCACAGAGCGCCGAAGTTGTTCACACATCGAACGAAGGGGACAACTGAACACGCGAGCGACGGAAAAACGACGGAAAAATGTACGAGGTACACAACAAACCTGCCGTGAAATCAAACAGTGAGCGAGGCAGCCAGATCGCAAGCAGGAGGGGCATCTGTTGCCCGCTCGCTCCTCCTGGGATGCACGAGGCAAAGCCTGTGTCGAACGAAACGGCGCGAGCATTCCTTGCTAGTCTCCGTCACTTGGCCAAGGGTCACACGTGATCTCAACGAGACAGAGCACACCATGCTTACTCCGAGGGAATCAAATACCGACAACTCAAGGACGACGGGGAGCGGGGTATGATAAACAGTGTGGATGAGCCGCAAGAGTACTTCTCATGGGCAGCTTGGAAGTTTTCGTTTTCAATGTGATTTGGTTGCCTCATCTTGCACGGTGGGAAGGCTCCGCAACTTTCACCCCGCCTTTGACGGACAGCATTGTTGAACTCTATGTGCGTACTTTCAGCGAAGAGCTGCCGCCCAAGGGCAACTTGGAGACGCCACAAAAAGTCGCAACGAGGAACCGCGTGACAGCATTTACTTCTCTCCCTTTGCCAAGACTCGATTCCACAACCTCATCATCTAGAGGCGGCTGATTGCCGGGGTCACGCACGACCACAACCAATCTCTACTTTCCCAGAGACGCTCACTTCCCTGCGACGTTCTCCAACCCAAGATAACAAAAGTGTCTTGCTGGTGTTCATGCATATTTCACGCGATCCAGGTTCAAAAAATCTTCTTAGAAGGAAACGAAAGTTGTGCCCATCGCCACAAATAGGCGGCAACAGCAATTGCCGCGGTGTCCAACGCTCACATCCGACAAAAAACGAAAAGGGCCAAACAACAACGTAGAAATACCACGAGTCGACGAGACCAGCACGCTTCTTTAGCCCCACCGAGACCTTTGGACAAGTTTCAGAAGCCCCTGTTGAGCACGTTGTACCCAACCACAATCCCCGACACCTGTGTTGGCGAGCCAGTGATGTTCTACCAAAATCACGTCAACCTATGTGTTGGCTCGATTCACACAGCACTCTCTAATGCTACGGAAAATCACACCACAACCAACACGTGTGCCGACGACAGTTGCGGTCTACTCCTGCTGCCGAAAAAATTCGATGCCCGTCATGCTGTGCCCTCTGTACAACAAGACTTGAGAGCACGGCAAATGTTTGTCCCGCGTCATTGGTTGGACTCAGGCTAACGCAAATAGCGGCGCCCCCGCTTGCCGCTCAGGCGAGGTCCGCAGCAGTAGCTTCAGAAGGTAAAACAGTTTTCTTACTATGTCACTACTATTTGTCACAAGATTAAGGTAAGGCGTCTTCACCCGCTACACCTGCCGTCTATTTACAAGGATATTTTAAACTTGGAATAACATAGAGGCTAAGAAACATACGGACAAGGACCAAAGCCACTACGAGACCGCTCCTCCTAGCGAAACAAAAAGCTAGTCCATGGAATAAAAACTACAACACCAACCACCGCCGCCGCCACGAATGCCGCGGCCGGCGTTTACACCAATCACGCCTCTCCCGGGACCCCTATCAGCGGCGTCATCCTTCTCAGCAGCTCCCGCACGACCGCCCGAACCTCCAGACTCCTGACGACAACCAAATCCGCGAGACGAGGGCACAGCCAGCCAGCTTCCCTGTCAAAAGCCTCCGCGGGTTGCAACAAGAGAAGGCCTCGCAGCAGCAGCAGAACCGCTGGGGTGAGATGCCTGACCTCGGCCTCCGTGCTCGCAACCAGGTTAGCCGGTTCTCGCTGCTGGTGCTGAGGCCCAAGCCCACCGGCGGCGGGAGGCCTCGGGGCGGCACCGGGGGGGCGTCGCGTGCCGCCGCTGCCCATGCTTCTGGGCGTGCTCGCCTGCTGATGCGCTCGGCTCCCGGTACTCGCCGTGGGGGAGAACGAGGACGAGGTGACGGTGTGCCTGCTCGGACTCTCTACAGAGAAGCCGCCGCGATGCTGCGACGGAGAGGGGGGAGCGAAGGAGGAAGAAGGTACTGCTGACGCCGCCGCCGTGTCATCCGCGCTACTCCACATGTGATCTTCCAAACTGAGTTCGAGCGCACATGGCACGGAAGGAAGTGGAGAGGTAGGCGGGGGGTGGTTACAGTCATCTTATTGATGGTAGTTTAAGGGCATCGTGGCTGAGGAGGTTGGGCAAGCAGGAAGGAAACGCTGCGAAGAACGCCATATCGCACACACCCGCAGCACGGGTAGTAGCAGTAGCGGCCGCAGCGGCTGCAGAGTTCATCCAAACCATTGATCCCGATCCGCCTACATGCTTGCGTTCGATGCGTTGACACTCCACGGTCACCTAGCAAAGCATTTTCGGATGACGTCTGTCCGTTTAATTGCGATTGTGTTTCATATTCTCTCACCTGGCTCGCTGTACTTCCCCGTCGGCTTCAAAGTACCGAACCAAGATGTTACCCCCTTCGCGCCGCAAAAATTCGAGGGCGAGGGTCGTCCCGTCCCATCCTGCGGCGCCCCCGCTACCCGGGCCTTCGTCCCCGTCGCCACTCCACTCCAAGAGGTCGTCCACAACCAGCATCGGCCCCGCCGCGCTCCCGCTGTGAACACCACCCCTCGCCTTCCCTCCCACCGCCCGGTGTACATCGCCGTCCGCCGGTAAACCTGGTCGCGGAGGGCGCGATCGACGGCGCTGCTGGCTGGGCTGCCGTCCTCCTCCTCCTCCTCCTCCTCCTCCTCCGCTTGCGGTGTCGTTAGGTACCACCACCACCGCTTCCAGCTCGAACGACCGGTGCTCCGGCCAGGGCATGAGAGAGACTTCGTCGCTGCCGCCGGCAAACGCGCCGTCTCCGGCGCTGCTACGGCTCGTGCCCCCGCCTATAGTTTCAGGCACCACCACCGCGGCAACATCGCGGCCACCACCACCACCAGAGGCTGACGGGGAGGATCGCGGCCATCGTACGTCTAGCAATCGGAACGCGACCGCGAAGATGAACCAGAGGCCTTCGCTCTCCTGCTCCAGGAGGTGCGGCAGCTCTTGCAACCCCGGGGGTGATCTAGGAACGAGAACCCTGCGTCGAGTCCGGTTGTCGACGACGACAGATTTCGCGTTTTGGGCGGAGTTCACGGTAGTTTGGTGAACACGCGGCAGAGCAGCGGCAATCGATCGAGCGCGAACGATCGCGAGCAAGCAACGAACACGCCAGGCTTCTGCGGCTTTACCCGTCGACACGGGAACGGTCGCGGCAGATGCTCTCTCGCGGCCGACGAACGGCTGCAGTGCAAAAACACAAGTGACCCGTTCCAGATGCCTGTGGTCGACTCGTGTGCAGGAATAAGCACGCGAGAGTCCAACACAGGGATTCGAAACAAGCATCCCCTCGAGGCATTGATCACATGCTGCAAAACTTACAAGAAGTGCCGCCAAAGCACAAACCAACCAACAACAACAACGAGCGTTCACGCGCAACATAGCACAGCCAAGACGAAGAACAGAAAAAACAGATCAGAGCGAGGGTGGAGACGGGTGTCGGTTTTCCGCGAGGTTTTGGTAGATCCCGGGAATTTTCTTCCCCCCCCAGCCTGCCGCGAGTTGAGCGCCAAGAGCCAGCCTCCGACTAAATCACGCAAACACCGATTGATTCAACATGAACACCCACCCTGCAGCAAACAGCGACGTTCTCAGAGCGTGCTGCGCCTGAAAGTCCCTCGCGTACCGCACCCCTTCCGAAAGGCCCCCCAACAAAGCGCGAGCCTGGTCTTCCCCCAGTCCGCCGAGGTGTAACCTTGCCAAGCCGTACAGGAGGCGCTGAAGGCGCAGCGCCGCCGCGAGCAGAGCCGCCGCCCGCGGGCCGTCAAACTCGACATCGTCAGAACGACCGTCGCCACCGCCTCCGCCACTAGTGGGTTCATCATGACCTTCGCCATCTGCGGACAGAGTCAATGAGTCGCTGCGTGCCGGCTGCGCCTCCCCGTCTCCTGCTTCCTCGGTGGGATACAAACGCGCCTCCTGCTTCTCCTGCCGTCCACCGCCACCTCGTGCTGATGGCCCAAGATCCCCACCACCCCCGCTGGAGGCGTCGACACCTACGACAACGGCGTCACGCCCGGTCCCGGACAAGGAGTCGACCTTGGTGTCTCCACCGCCGCCGCCGCCGCCGCCGCTGTCGTCGCCGAACAACAACCGCGCGGCGCAATGGCGAGCGCCGTTATCCTCGTCCGCGGGGTCTTCTTGCGGCTCGCCTCCGCCGCTGTCGTGCCCGACGCGTCCCGCCCGGCCGAATGACTCGGAAAGGCAACGACGCAGCATGCGGAGGAGGCTGTCGCAGAGGTGCGCGAGGACCGCCGCGGGGATTTGCTCCTGCTGGTGCCCGGCCAGGCCTTCCACCAGGAGCCCCAAAGACTCGAGGGCCAGGCGGGACATCAAGCCGTCCCCAGGGACTCCCGCTTCCTCCGCCACCGCCGCCCCCGCTGCTGCCGCTGCCTGCATCTCCTCTTCCCACCACCGTACAGTCTCCTCGCCGCCACCTCCGGCGTCCTCCTGACCCTGATGCCTCTGCTCTTGCCGTGCTACACGTTCTCCTTCACCCCCCGATCCCTCTCGCCCGCCATTCACCGTATCACCCGTGCCCAGCTGACGGCTGTTACTACTGACGCTATAAAAGCGGCCACTACGGCCGTTGCTGGTGCTATGCCGGTGACGCCGGCAACAAACGTGGGGCTCAAAAAACGCCAAAAGCGTCGGAACTCCCAGAGGCACCGCGGCCTCGGCGTTGCTCGAGATGACGGCGACTGCCGCGCGGAACAGCTGCGGTGCGGTCGTGTGCACCCACGAGCCGACGTCGAGCGGGAGCACGCCGCGGCTAGCCGGGCCAGGAGCCGCCGCGACCGCCGCGGCTGTCCTCGCTACAGGGACGCGGCCGCCAGATGCCGCCGACAAAGAGGAAGACGGCCCAAGACGCAAATGACCGCTTCCTGGGCTCGGAAGCGCAGAAGAGGCCGCTGTCGCCGGCTGCGCCTGCAGCCTGCTGTGGCGGGAGGGCGTCGATGGCGCCGAGGGCACCGAGACTAGAGGCGTTGCCGGCACCATTGGCGCGGCGAGCGGGGGCGTAGTCTTCTCCGCAAGGCGCGACACCGGCAGGAGGATGCGCGTCAATAGGTACGGCCATACCCTGAGAGAGAACTCCGAGGCAGATCCGAACTCCTTTGGATGCGGGGACAAAGTGCGACCGGCCGGAGAAAAATCGGCGACGGACGGGGAGGCGCGAAGGGTCGGAGGCCGAAGAACTAACAACGATGGTAAAAAGCGGAGTAGCGGTGGTGGCGGTACAAACACAGTTATGTCACAAAAAAAAAAGGCGCAACAGGCCACCCCAACGTTGTCGGGCTGCATCAAAAACCAGGACTCGCGACAAACAACAAGGCGACGACATAAAAATGTAAGCAGCAGGCAAGAGGCCCGTACAAAACTACCTCACCTTCAATACATCCTGGAGGGTTGAAAGGGCCGCCGCGCGGCAGTCTAGTCTCGGGTCACCCGCGCCTCTTGCCAACCCCGTCAGGAGCGGCCACCACAGCTGAAGGGCGAGTCGGGATTGCTCCGCCGCCACGACCCCGCCCTCTGCGGTCACCACCCCGCCAACACCGTTCGATCCCCTTTTCCCGTGTGCCGACGACGGCCACATATCGGACGAGGGTGAAACCCTTCCGGCCTTGTCCTCTCCTGTCGCTGTCGGGGTCGGGACGGCGACAGCAGCCGCGACCGCGGGGGGGTCCGCCACCGAGCCGCCGGCCTCGTCGGGAACGGGAGGGTCGAGGCTGTCGAGGTCTAGGGCAAGGTGGCCGACGGCGTCGTTCCGTGCCGCCCTGCGGAACCTGCGGCCATCGTCGTCGTCGTCTGTGTTGCTGTCTTCGGAGCAGCCCGCGTCGCTGCTGGGGCCGCCGCCGCGGCCGCCGCCGCCGCGGTCGGCCCTCACGGCGCCCAGCACCTCCGGGGGAAGCTGTCCCGTGTTGGAGATCGTGGTCTCGGGGAGCGGTCGCTGTTGAGACGGGCAACGGTAGAAGGGTGGGGGGTGGAGGGGAGTAAGTGGGCTACTTACGGGACTGATGTCATTGACATCCCTTGTAAGCGCTGTGCTTCTTCTTCTTGGGCGAGCACCAAGTTAGGAATTTTCGCTTGGGGAGCAGCAATCAATCCACTGCTGTGTGGGTTCCACAGAAGAAGCCAAGCCTCGCAAACCTCTAGTTTGCTAGTCAGCTTGAACAACGTCGTCAGACTTTTCCACACCCCTTACCTTGTTGGGCTACATACTGATAATACAAGGTACATACGCTGGCGTCACGCAAAGCGTTAAGTACCTTTCAATAGTATCATGCAACGGCTTACTGCCGTCCGTCATCGTGCGTCAGGTTTCCAGTCTCACCTGAAGAGCGACGTCGACGCCGCCCTCGGCTAACTGCCTGGCGCACAGCCGCAGGTGTCCGATGCAGACCAAGCTAACATCCAGAAATCTGTCAGACACATACGCCACAAGACGTTATCTTAGACAGGCATATAGACGTACGGACAGCAGTGCAAAACCGCGAGACTCCTGCAAGACGACCAAAACAGATAGGGGGGCCGACACAAGGCCGCATATGCCATGAAATTAGACCGGCCAAATATTGTATAGAATCGGCCCTGCATAAGGCCGACGCCGCCGGCCTTATTGAGGATTTACATTTCCTCAGTAAGGCCGCTACCGGCCTTCCTTATTGAAGGTTTGGTTGCCCTCTGTAGCCCAAACCAAGCGCTACATGTGCTGCACGTAAGTTTGAGTCGGTCCTTTGCTATCACGTTCATTTAATCACGTTCATTTAATGCTTCCCATCCAACTATTTTCGTCTCTCAGATATATGATACATGTCCAACCAGGAAGAAATAATGATTCCGACCGACAAACATGAACGCTGTAATGAAGAATAGAAAACAGACATCCGACAGATCCCCCGTTTCGCAGAAAAACAAAGGAAACGAGTTCGTACGCATAAGGCGGACACCTGACCTAGGGCAAACAGGTCAAGCGCGAAACGATTTCAATGGCCCAAGCCCACACGCGGCAGTTCGTACCTCTGCCCAAAAAGGCGCCCCCGCTCAAAAATTGGTAGGAAAGTGACCATCAAGTTGTCGTACACCCCCTGTTGTTTTGCACCCCAACGTAGCAACCGACCAGCACACAGCAGCACCATGCATTCATTCCTGCCATACTTCCGAGGAACGACTGAAACGGAACATGTAACCGCACGGACTGCCCAATACTGACAAACCCTCCAGGAAAAAAAACGAGACCACCGCCGACACAGCAAACGCTACCATGACTCCTCCCACGCGTTCATCACATCTACAGGAATTCCCTCAAGTCCGCCTTTCGCGTGGGTAATGCGGCATGCGCTGCGATCATCGCCACCTTAGCCCTCTGCAGAAAGATAGCGGTCTCAGCATTGCCGCTGTCGAAACCAGCGTCACTTCCACGGAGACCGGCCTTACTGAGGGCAGGCAGGGGGGCACAACCGGGGGTGCCTGATAGAAGGCCGCCACCGACCTTATATCGGGCCAAGTTGTGCCGAGCGATTTCACCGGCCTTCTATCACGCAGACGGTCCCATTTATGGGGCCTTATATCGGTCCCCCTACCGTACTACCACAGAAAACGAACTGCTTCTCCTGGAAGCCCGACCAGCACATTTCGCCCGTGTGCGCTCACTCTTGTTGTACAGACTAACCTCGAAGCGGCCATCTCCAGTAAGGTGTAGACAAGATCGACAAAGTCGTACTGCACCAGCGGGAAGGTCTCGCCGGCAAGCTCTTCCAGGATTAAGCACGCCGGCTGCACCACCTGCGTGTCCATGTGTAGGAGTGTGTGTGTGTGTGTGTGTGTGTGTGTGTGTGTGTGTGTGTGTTTCTTTATTTCTAGCATGGACGGCGTTACGCGGCTGACAAATGAAATTTGTGTCAGTGTGTGAACGCGTGCGATTCTTTGATTGCCATCGATCACGCTAAACCGGAAGACCACACTAAAAATAAATGGGGGCGCGTTTTCATCCGCGAAGTCCCCGTGAGAGGGGGGTGGGGTGCACCAAGAAAACTGGAAAAAACAGTCCCGCCTCAGTATTCGTAATGCTTGCAGAAGGAGCCCGCAGAACGCCACTACCACTACGCGTCCCCCCTGGTATGATACCTAGCCATGTACTGCTACAGTGTCCCCGCCGTTGTCTACTCTCGGTGTCTACCTCCCGCTTAGTGGCTCACCTCTTCCTGGGTGTCTGCGGCAGCTGAACGCAGCACTGTAAGTACCGTCTTCCAGCCGGACCTCAACATTGTCCCCTTCGTCAGGATCACGTTGTTCAGGCAGCTGGATCGTGGGGCGGGGGGTCATATCGGTGGGGCATATACACGTGGGGCTTGGTGCTTCGTTCACAGGTTAGCGGGAGTTGACGCGAAGGTGGGCTGATGTGCGTTTGGGGGGGGGTGTACTCATAGTCGTGCATGCCGTAGTCGTTACACCATTGACCTCGTATCCCTACAAAGCCGGGACGGAGCACGCCCTGT